GGTGAGGGGAGGGGGGGTAATTATATTGTATCACGGGGTATGCATGTGCTGGAGGTGGCTGGACGTGGTCTGTAGAAGAGGTGGATGATGGGGAAGGACACCACGTGACCTCATTGCCTCACTTCATCACACTGTATCTCCATTACGCTCTGTACTGATGAACGAGTCCAGAGATGGAGAACAATAATGGTGGAAAGTCCGAGGGATTGGGAGAGACTGACCTTAGGAAGTATCATTGTACTAAAGGAGTAGTTGATGGTTGGATCAGACTTCCAGCAGAGACAGAGACTACCTCTATGACCAAATCTCCCCCCCTGTCCTGCTCTGACCTGACTACTTCTGTCTACAACAGCTCGCTCTCATCCTCCATAGACACCTTGTCTTCCCTCACTAGACGCAGACTTTGACCACGCCCACTGCAACCGTGGCGACCAGAAGTAACCAGACATCTAAAGAAATTGGGAAAGTGGGAAATTTGAGAATAAAGTAAGAAATTCTTTTCTGAAAGGTCGTAGCGGTGGCAAAAAGTCTGGAAAGAAAAGGTAGGAAAGTGTTAGAATCAAAAATGTGTTCATCTTCTCATCTCATCTTCTCCTCATCTCATCTCATCTTCTCATCTCATCTTCTCCTCATCTCATCTTCTCATCTCATCTTCTCCTCATCTCATCTTCTCCTCATCGAATCTTCTCCTCATCTCATCTTCTCCTCATCGAATCTTCTCCTCATCTCATCGAATCTTCTCCTCATCTTCTCCTCATCTCATCGAATCTTCTCCTCATCTCATCTTTTCCTCTCCTCATCTTATCTTCTCCTCATCTCATCTTCTCCTCATCTTATCTTCTCCTCATCTCATCTTCTCCTCATCTTATCTTCTCCTCATCTCATCTTCTCCTCATCTCATCTTCTCCTCATCTCATCTTCTCCTCATCTCATCTCATCTTCTCCTCATCTCATCTTCTCCTCATCTCATCTCATCTTCTCCTCATCTCATCTTCTTCTCCTCATCTCATCTTCTCCTCCTCATCTCATCTTCTTCTCCTCATCTCATCTTCTCCTCATCTCATTGAATCTTCTCCTCATCTCATCTTCTCCTCATCTCATCTTCTCATCTTATCTTCTCCTCATCTCATCTTCTCATCTTATCTTCTCCTCATCTCATCTTCTCCTCATCTCATCTTCTCATCTTATCTTCTCCTCATCTCATCTTCTCCTCATCGAATCTTCTCCTCATCTCATCTTCTCCTCATCTCATCTCCTCCTCATCTCATCTCCTCCTCATCTCATCTCCTCCTCATCTCATCTTCTCCTCATCTCCTCTTCTCCTCATCTTCTCCTCTCCTCATCTTATCTTCTCCTCATCTCCTCTTCTTCTTATCTCCTCCTCTCCTCATCTCATCTTCTCCTCATCTCATCTTCTCCTTATCTCATCTTCTCCTCATCTCATCTTCTCCTCATCTCATCTTCTCCTCATCTCATCTTCTCCTCATCTCATCTTCTCCTCATCTCATCTTCTCCTCATCTCATCTTCTCCTCATCTTCTCCTCATCTTCTCCTCATCTCATCTTCTCCTCATCTTCTCCTCATCTTCTCCTCATCTTCTCCTCATCTTCTCCTCATCTTCTCCTCATTGTATCTTCTCCTCATTGTATCTTCTCCTCATCTCATCTTCTCCTCATTGTATCTTCTCCTCATTGTATCTTCTCCTCATCTTATCTTCTCCATATCTTTTCTTCTCCTCATCTTATCTGCTCCTCATCTTATCTTCTCCTCATCTTATCTTCTCCTCATCTTATCTGCTCCTCATCTCATCTTCTCCGTATCTTATCTTGTTTTGCTCACTACAGATTTATGGTTCTTCTCCTCATCCCTTCCAGAATGGGGTACGGGGCCCCAAATTCTACTTTCTCTCATACTGACTTCCACCTGCATGGCTTTCCTGGGATCTCTCAGTCTAGACAAGTCCTCGCCATCCCGATCCTTTTCATTGATATTATAATATTGATGGGGAACTGCACCATGGCATATATAATCTGGATGGAGAAGACTCTACACCAGCCCATGTACATACTCATCTCTTTGGTTTTCTCAGTGAATGTCTCCTACGCTATGACCATAATGCCCAAATTCCTTCTTGGGTTAATGTTTGGACTGGAGCAGATAACATTGGTGGGGTGCCTCACACAGATGTTCTTTATGTACATTGCAGGGACCTTTAACTCAAACCTCCTCCTCCTGATGGCTGTTGACAGGTATGTTGCCATTGTTCTACCTCTGCGTTACCACCTTCTTATGACCATGAAAACATTGGCCTTTCTGGTATTCCTCAGCTCCCTGCGGAATTTTCTTTTTGTTTCCCTGATAGTTGGTTTTGCCTCTAAGGTTCAGTTTTGTGGCTCCAACATCATCCTGAACTTTGCCTGTGAGAATATGAGTCTCTTGAATTTGGGATGTGGAGACATTTCCGGTGTTCAGGCTGTGGGCCTTTGGGTGAGGATCTTTCTGGTGATGGTTGATGGAACCTTCGTTGTGTTATCTTACATGAGGATTCTTCACACTGTCATGAAGTTAGTAGCGGGAAGGGCTCGGGACAAGGCCAGGCAGACCTGCAGTGCCCATTTGTTGGTGACCATGCTGACCTATTTCTTTGGTTTGTCCTCCTCCATCATATATCGAATGGGGTCTGTCATCTCAAATGACGTTCAAAACACAACGAGCTTACTAAATTACGTCATCCCCGCAGCTGCCGACCCGATCATCTATGGAGTGAAGATGAAGGAAATCAGGAACAGCCTGAAAAAAAGACTTTCCCTAAAAATCACCAACAATTCAGCACTCCGGTGACTGCAATGCTCAATCCACGAAGACAGAGCCAGAAGATCCACCAACATAAAAGAATATCGAATGATCTATTCCTCAACATTGAGTATGAATGACGCCGGACAACCATCAAAACCATCAAATACGATCACTCCATCAACCTGAATACAAAGAACAATGTGATCTAAAATCAAAGAAAGATCACGAAGAGTGACAACAACATAAAATGTATTTCACCAAAGTGTCCTCTCTGAGAGCCGAGCAAGAGGAACAAAGTGAGATCAGACGCCACCAATCCTATTTATTGTTTGTACTCAGTAAGGAGAAGTAACCACCAAAGGAGCTTACACCCTAACGTCCCCCCCCACAGACACACGCTATTATTATGCAGGAGCGCCCCCCGGACACCCAAAGTCCTATGGCGGACCCCCAAGGGAAAGAGAGGGCTTATATTTCACTCTCAGGGATGGATCCTTACCCAGGTTGTGGGATATGAACAGAAAATTGGGCGCCTGTCACTTTAAGGACTTTATAAATGCTTTATTGTAGAACTGGGAGAGAGGGGGTAGGGCTCCAGTGTAGAAATACTTCAGTAGGACAACAGCTGAATAGGAGACCACGTGACTTCATCAGGGGACCCCTGACCTACGTACGTTACATCAAAACACGTGACTTCATCAGGGGACCCCTGACCTACGTACGTTACATCAAAACACGTGACTTCATCATGGGACCCCTGACCCTATGTACGTTACGTCAAAACACGTGACTTCATCATGGGACCCCTGACCCTACGTACGTTACTTCAAAACACGTGACTTCATCAGGGGACCCCTGACCTACGTACGTTACCTCAAAACACGTGACTTCATCAGGGGACCCCTGACCTACGTACGTTACATCAAAACACGTGACTTCATCAGGGGACCCCTGACCTATGTACGTTACATCAAAACACGTGACTTCATCAGGGGACCACTGACCTACGTACGTTACATCAAAACACGTGACTTCATCAGAAGACCCCTGACCTACGTACGTTACCTCAAAACACATGACTTCATCAGGGGACCCCTGACCCTACGTACGTTACCTCAAAACACGTGACTTCATCAGGGGACCCCTGACCCTACGTACATTACCTCAAAACACGTGACTTCATCAGGGGACCCCTGACCCTACGTACATTACCTCAAAACACTCATCTCATCTTCTCCTCATCTCATCTTCTCATCTCATCTTCTCCTCATCTCATCTTCTCCTCATCGAATCTTCTCCTCATCTCATCTTCTCCTCATCGAATCTTCTCCTCATCTCATCGAATCTTCTCCTCATCTTCTCCTCTTCTCATCGAATCTTCTCCTCATCTCATCTTTTCCTCTCCTCATCTTATCTTCTCCTCATCTCATCTTCTCCTCATCTTATCTTCTCCTCATCTCATCTTCTCCTCATCTCATCTTCTCCTCATCTCATCTTCTCCTCATCTCATCTTCTCCTCATCTCATCTTCTCCTCATCTCATCTTCTCCTCATCTCATCTCCTCCTCATCTCATCTTCTCCTCATCTCATCTCCTCCTCATCTCATCTTCTCCTCATCTCCTCTTCTCCTCATCTTCTCCTCTCCTCATCTTATCTTCTCCTCATCTCATCAAATCTTCTTCTCCTCTCATCTTCTTCTCCTCATCTCATCTTCTCCTCATCTCATCTTCTCCTTATCTCATCTTCTCCTCATCTCATCTTCTCCTCATCTCATCTTCTCCTCATCTCATCTTCTCCTCATCTCATCTTCTCCTCATCTCATCTTCTCCTCATCTTCTCCTCATCTTCTCCTCATCTTCTCCTCATCTTCTCCTCATCTTCTCCTCATTGTATCTTCTCCTCATTGTATCTTCTCCTCATCTCATCTTCTCCTCATTGTATCTTCTCCTCATTGTATCTTCTCCTCATCTTATCTTCTCCATATCTTTTCTTCTCCTCATCTTATCTGCTCCTCATCTTATCTTCTCCTCATCTTATCTTCTCCTCATCTTATCTGCTCCTCATCTCATCTTCTCCGTATCTTATCTTGTTTTGCTCACTACAGATTTATGGTTCTTCTCCTCATCCCTTCCAGAATGGGGTACGGGGCCCCAAATTCTACTTTCTCTCATACTGACTTCCACCTGCATGGCTTTCCTGGGATCTCTCAGTCTAGACAAGTCCTCGCCATCCCGATCCTTTTCATTGATATTATAATATTGATGGGGAACTGCACCATGGCATATATAATCTGGATGGAGAAGACTCTACACCAGCCCATGTACATACTCATCTCTTTGGTTTTCTCAGTGAATGTCTCCTACGCTATGACCATAATGCCCAAATTCCTTCTTGGGTTAATGTTTGGACTGGAGCAGATAACATTGGTGGGGTGCCTCACACAGATGTTCTTTATGTACATTGCAGGGACCTTTAACTCAAACCTCCTCCTCCTGATGGCTGTTGACAGGTATGTTGCCATTGTTCTACCTCTGCGTTACCACCTTCTTATGACCATGAAAACATTGGCCTTTCTGGTATTCCTCAGCTCCCTGCGGAATTTTCTTTTTGTTTCCCTGATAGTTGGTTTTGCCTCTAAGGTTCAGTTTTGTGGCTCCAACATCATCCTGAACTTTGCCTGTGAGAATATGAGTCTCTTGAATTTGGGATGTGGAGACATTTCCGGTGTTCAGGCTGTGGGCCTTTGGGTGAGGATCTTTCTGGTGATGGTTGATGGAACCTTCGTTGTGTTATCTTACATGAGGATTCTTCACACTGTCATGAAGTTAGTAGCGGGAAGGGCTCGGGACAAGGCCAGGCAGACCTGCAGTGCCCATTTGTTGGTGACCATGCTGACCTATTTCTTTGGTTTGTCCTCCTCCATCATATATCGAATGGGGTCTGTCATCTCAAATGACGTTCAAAACACAACGAGCTTACTAAATTACGTCATCCCCGCAGCTGCCGACCCGATCATCTATGGAGTGAAGATGAAGGAAATCAGGAACAGCCTGAAAAAAAGACTTTCCCTAAAAATCACCAACAATTCAGCACTCCGGTGACTGCAATGCTCAATCCACGAAGACAGAGCCAGAAGATCCACCAACATAAAAGAATATCGAATGATCTATTCCTCAACATTGAGTATGAATGACGCCGGACAACCATCAAAACCATCAAATACGATCACTCCATCAACCTGAATACAAAGAACAATGTGATCTAAAATCAAAGAAAGATCACGAAGAGTGACAACAACATAAAATGTATTTCACCAAAGTGTCCTCTCTGAGAGCCGAGCAAGAGGAACAAAGTGAGATCAGACGCCACCAATCCTATTTATTGTTTGTACTCAGTAAGGAGAAGTAACCACCAAAGGAGCTTACACCCTAACGTCCCCCCCCACAGACACACGCTATTATTATGCAGGAGCGCCCCCCGGACACCCAAAGTCCTATGGCGGACCCCCAAGGGAAAGAGAGGGCTTATATTTCACTCTCAGGGATGGATCCTTACCCAGGTTGTGGGATATGAACAGAAAATTGGGCGCCTGTCACTTTAAGGACTTTATAAATGCTTTATTGTAGAACTGGGAGAGAGGGGGTAGGGCTCCAGTGTAGAAATACTTCAGTAGGACAACAGCTGAATAGGAGACCACGTGACTTCATCAGGGGACCCCTGACCTACGTACGTTACATCAAAACACGTGACTTCATCAGGGGACCCCTGACCTATGTACGTTACATCAAAACACGTGACTTCATCAGGGGACCACTGACCTACGTACGTTACATCAAAACACGTGACTTCATCAGAAGACCCCTGACCTACGTACGTTACCTCAAAACACATGACTTCATCAGGGGACCCCTGACCCTACGTACGTTACCTCAAAACACGTGACTTCATCAGGGGACCCCTGACCCTACGTACATTACCTCAAAACACGTGACTCCATCAGGGGACCCCTGACCTACATACGTTACCTCAAAACACTTGACTTCATCATGGGACCCCTGACCCTATGTACGTTACGTCAAAACACGTGACTTCATCATGGGACCCCTGACCCTACGTACGTTACTTCAAAACACGTGACTTCATCAGGGGACCCCTGACCTACGTACGTTACCTCAAAACACGTGACTTCATCAGGGGACCCCTGACCTACGTACGTTACATCAAAACACGTGACTTCATCAGGGGACCCCTGACCTATGTACGTTACATCAAAACACGTGACTTCATCAGGGGACCACTGACCTACGTACGTTACATCAAAACACGTGACTTCATCAGAAGACCCCTGACCTACGTACGTTACCTCAAAACACATGACTTCATCAGGGGACCCCTGACCCTACGTACGTTACCTCAAAACACGTGACTTCATCAGGGGACCCCTGACCCTACGTACATTACCTCAAAACACGTGACTTCATCAGGGGACCCCTGACCTACATACGTTACCTCAAAACACTTGACTTCATCATGGGACCCCTGACCCTATGTACGTTACGTCAAAACACGTGACTTCATCAGGGGACCCCTGACCTACGTACGTTACATCAAAACATGTGACTTCATCAGGGGACCCCTGACCCTACGTACATTACCTCAAAACACATGACTTCATCAGAAGACCCCTGACCCTACGTACGTTACATAAAAACACGTGACTTCATCAGGGGACCCCTGACCTACGTACGTTGCATAAAAACATGTGACTTCATCAGGGGACCCCTGACCTATGTACGTTACATCAAAACACGTGACTTCATCAGGGGACCCCTGACCTACGTACATTACCTCAAAACACATGACTTCATCAGAAGACCCCTGACCTATGTACGTTACTTCAAAACACGTGACTTCATCAGGGGACCCCTGACCCTACGTACGTTACTTCAAAACACGTGACTTCATCAGGGGACCCCTGACCTACGTACGTTACATCAAAACACGCGACTTCATCAGGGGACCCCTGACCTACGTATGTTACGTCA